GGGGGGGGGGGGGGGGGGAGTATAGTCGCAACATTCTCCGACAAAAGCAGCTATAATAGAACGAAGACATGTGTCCACCGACACACAGATAGACTCGAAGAAGAGCTATGACGATTGACGGTTCTGTTTTAAGTATTCTGCAGCTCGGTCTTCCCACTGTATCTACGATCATTGTAGTGAACACGCTCAACAGCTTGTGGGCAACGCCAGGCGCCTTCCAACCTCGATACTGTAACAAGAGTGCGTTTCCTCCTCATCGCCTGCATCTCTAATCCTCTGTTCTTGAATGCCTTCCTTGTGTTCTCCCGCCCGTTTGTCAGTGCGCCGTGCGGTGCTATCTGGGGAAGTGCCGGCTGCAGGGTTTGAGGAAGACGGAGAGGGAGAAGCAGGAGATGTTGTTTCGCATGGCGGCCCGAGTACAGGTGGGTGGGCAGGGTGAGTTCCGTAGCAACACGAGCACGACCGGTCGTTCGACGATGATGTCTTTCACTTCGGCGTTGCTTCGCACAGCTGCTGTTTTTGTCTTCATTTTCCTTCGTTTTCCTCTTGTTGATGCGAGGGAGGCAAGGGCGCAGCAAACGCGAGTGCGGGGCAGGCTAAGTTGCACCCCTCCCTCGCTCCCCTCTCCCTCCTGCCTTGACCGTCGTGTCTTTGGTGTCTGCTTCGGTAAGGCACTTGTGCGGGGGATTCAGACGAGAAATGTTTGGAGGAAGTTCTTCACGAGCAGAGTTCTTTTGCAAAGGGAACGACAGCGGACAGGCGCGCAGCAGATACAATCCTTCTGGAGGTATGCATGAAACGAAGACAGATTATGAATAACCTGCGCCCACCCGGTTGTTGTAGCTCTTCACTCAGAAGAGAAGACGAGACCATGTGGTACGTGAGTACCGCGAGGAAATGGCTACAAAACGACGGGAAGACAGTCAAACATGGACAAATTCCACCGTTGTATTGTCGTAATTAAAGCCATAGTGCGTCAAAGGTGTCCGATTGTTACCCAATAACAGGCAGAGAACAGACAAGAAGACTTGGCCGGCCTGTCAGCGACAAGGAAATCCGTTCGCACGCTTGCCGGCCGGTTTCTTCGGCGCAATGTTACAAGTAACCTAGGCGAGCATTTTGGGAGCGACCGACCAGTGTCTGTCTGTCTGTCTCTCTCGGCGCGCCCACTCTTTCTCGCTCTAATGCATGTAGCTCAAGCATTCGCTCCTCCTTATGTCTCCCTCCCCCGTGCCACCTCGAGCCGGTCTAGCGCTCCGCTTGTCCCAGGTGGAGTGCACGGGTCTATGGTTGGAAGAATCAGCCCAAGCATGATAATGAACAGCTACGTCTTCCCTGGCTCCCTCTTTCTCTCCCTCCCGCTCTCCCCGGTTCCCCCTCTCTCGCTGGCGAGTGAAGATCAAAGCTGGCGAGGACGGAGGCAGAACGGCGGAGAAGCGTGCGGGATGCCGCCTTGCTTGCGGAACAGCTGGAAAGGTGGGCTCTCCGGACAGCAACTCTTCCAACCTGTCAACGGCGAAGTATTGGTTGACACGCATCTGCGCCGATTAGGTTGTTGTTGTCGTCGTCGATGCTGTTGATGTTCCTGTGTCTGCTATTGCTGTTGGCTGTTTTTGTCGCTTCTTGAAATGGCGAGAAAACGGCTCGGGCGATATTTTAGCGTGGGGGAGGAGGTGGGCCTACAACAAATATGTTTTTCCTTGCAATAGGTTTCCCTCTAGGGAAGACAGCTGGAATGGGGCGACAGCGCTTGCGCAGGATATCTCCGCTGCTGGCAATGCTGTCATTGTGCTGTAATGAACAACGCCTTCGTATTTGTTTTAGGAACCACAAACGACGAACAGCACTTGGCGGTTAGTCCAGAAGGAGAAAACCACGATCCACCCATCCCGCTGTCTTGCTTGCTTGCTCCACCGGCCAATCGCTCGACCATCACCAACACATCGCACCGAAAAAAAACAAACGGGTCGAAGCAGGCACCTGAAAGGTCTGCTCGAGGCGACGATGGAGGCGGAGCGGCGGCACGCGTACGCCATCCGGCTGCAGTGCTGGTGGAGGGGAATCCTTGCGGTCAAGGTCATGGCCCGGAAGCAGCTGACACTGATAGAGACGCCGCCCGAGGACGTGGGGGAGGAGAAGGAAAAGGCGGCTCTTGTGCTGCAAGTAAGCCCGCTATCCATAAAGTTGCTTGGCGGACATCGTTTTGCTTGTCGTGGTTTGCTAGTCGATCCATGCGATGGTTGCTTGCGTGTTTTTTCGCACGACGTTTCTTTCTCACTACCGGAACGCTTGACCGTGGTACCGTGGTAACTTTTTTACTGCTCTTTTCGGCAATTCTCATGTACTCAATGTATCAAAGCTGTGGATAGGGGCAGAAAAATGCCTTTTCCGTAAAGTGACAGCTAGTTATGGTTGGGAAATGCACTCGTGGGTTCGGTTTACTTGCCGTTGTTTCTGGACAGCCTATGACCACTGAATTTGAAAATGGTTTCTGATGTGTGCTGAAGATGTACTTGGTAAAGGTCAGATATGTTAGTAGGCCACAACATCACCACCACCTCCACCACCATCAACAACAACAAGTAGTATCTGCACGGCCTTGAGCAATATGAGGAGAAATCCCCGGCTGATTCCAGCCAATATCGTCAGGCTGTCAATACTCTTTTTCAGTCTAGACATGGTATTCTGTATTGTGTTCCGCGCTTTTTCTTGTTACAGACCAATCAACAGCGAACAGCCGGCCGCATGGCAATGTTAGCTGTCGCAAGTTGGATTTTGAACACTCGAATGGTTTTCCGATCACGCCCTGCCCGCCCCCTCCCCCCTCCCTCCCCTAAACCTACTGTGCCACCAAAACACGCGAAGTGTCACTGGCGAGCAATCAAGGCCAGACGCTTCTACAACGCAAACTATGCCTTGTTGTATCGGGAGCGTGAGCGCAGAAAGTGCTGTACGGAGTGCCAGAGCGAGTACGCCACTCGAAAGTGCGACACGTGCACAGACAAGTTTTGCGAGGGTTGCTGGACGCGCATCCATAGCACGGTACGTGCGCTTGAGCTTAGGGAACACACACAACACACGCATCCATGTACTGTTGACCGACGGATTTGAAGGCTCGTAGTCCACGCTTTTTGCTTGCGTGGGATAGCGGCAAAGTCAACACTACTCATGCTATCTACTCTTGTTTTTGTCGCCGTCATTGTTGCCGTAGAATTGCAAGGCATTCGTACCTTCACCCGGGTGCTAGCCTGTTGTGTGCGCAGGTGCTCGTCTGCAGCGTCAACACAAGATCTCCGCGAGACTAGGAAGGCTCGACGTAGGCAGTGACTTGTTGTACGCGTAGTGTACACAAGGTGGTTTCGAGTTTGATTTTTTTAAGTCTTCAGTTTTTTATCACCGACAACGTTACGGAGCTTATTATATTGTCTTCTTCACACAACCGGGTGTGGAGCAAAACCTCGTCCTTGCGTTCATGTTCGGTTTCTGCTCTTCGCAATATAAATGCTGTCTCTATACGCGCTTCCACGTGTTGTTGTTTATCCGTTGTACATTGGCGTGTGTATCTCGCTTCTTGCTCTGTCATGCAAACAAACATTGTCACCCGTGGCAGTGGTGACTTGAATATGTCGACTGAAGAACTGCTCGGAATCGAACACAGGTTGCCACGCTTGATCGCAGCAACTGGAGAGTATCAGATCTGCAGCGGACCAAGTCGGTACCCCCGAACTAGCCTCAGGGTCGCATAAACCCCACAAAACCTATGATCAGCTCATCCGTCGATTCAACGAAGGCATAACCAAAACGTTGTGCTCTTTCTGCGCATCCCCCCCGCCCCCCCCTCGGTGTTTGCCATCGGGGTTGGGTTTTCGTCGCTTGGCAATGACGTTGTAAAACAAGCCAATTCACTTCGTGAACTCGGCAACCAGGTTACCGTTTTTGTTTTTTTTACCTCTGTTTCTTTTTTTGGCGGCAACCATAATGGTGGTAGAACATGTTGTGCGGGGTGGAGAACCCTCACTCCGCGCAAGGGGGATGATCGCACCACGTTGTGTTAAAATGGTCAAGCACCCTCAAGGCAGTTACACAGTGATTACAACTGTCTCTGGAAGTGAAAGCACCAGAAACCAAATTGAGTCATACGCAGCTGTCATCCGTATGCAAGGAAGTAAGCACAAAATGTCGATCACCCCTAGCAGGATGCAGCGCACCCTTCATGCNCGACTGGCTGCCCTTTGCGCCCGCTGCGTACAACACAAGCAGACCACAAGACGCCGCCGCAGCCCCGTCCACCACCGACAGGCAGTACTATTACGACGCAAGCACGGGGCAACAAGGAGCAGGAGGAGGAGAACTGTGGGACGTCAATCAACAATCAGCAGAGCTAGACCTGTACTACCAACCTGGGTACGACTCCTACGACTACTCCGGAAGCAAGTACTACTACGACCAGCGAGGCTGGGAACAGGAGGGCGGGAATCAGCAAACCTCGGCGGTTTCTGTGCAGGGCTGGTCCCCGGAGACCAACCAACAGTGGTACTACCCCGACCAGCCGCCGTCCACCGGCAGTGAGTACGGCTACGACGGGGCCATGAGCTACGATGGTGCAGCGGCGATCACGCCATCGTTGTCGTCAGACTACTACCCCGCGTGGACGCCCGAGACGCCGGACACAGCCGCCGACAACAACAGCAATGCCGCCGGTACCACAGTAAAGTCCTGGGAAGGCGAGGGAGACGGCGAGTGGACTTCGGCAGCAGCGGAATATTACGGCTACGATTCCGCCGGCAGCGGGGTGGATCAAGCGGCTGGCGGGGCTTGGGCGGGGGGAGGAGGAGTCGCGGGGGGCTGGAACGAGGGGTGGGCGACGCCCCAACCGGCCGACACAGCGAATGGTGACGAAGATTCCTCGGTGTTCCTTGCGTCCACCGGCGGGGAGACTAGCAAAGACAGCGGCGGTGGCAGTGGCGGCGTGGGGGGGGCACCCCCGAGCGGAAGCAGCGGCAGCCGGCCGTGGTCGGTGAACGAGTACGGGCAGAGGGTGGCCGGGGACTGGGTGGAATACTGGGACGACGCCGCGCAGGCGGCGTACTTCTACAACACAGCCAGCGGGGAGGCAAGTGATACTATGCGTAGGAAGATACGCGGCGCGAAGAGACTAGCGCAGCAGTAAACGGGATTCTATTGGTTCATTTGAGTCCAAAGGTGCTGCCTTTTTTGGTGCGGTGAGGACAACGAACAGCCCACGGAGGACAATCCCCTAGACCCGATTTGCTTACCAGTACACGCCGCCCTCCTGCCTACCTCCTTCCACCCCCCGATCTGCTGACCACCATATATACACTCCTATATATTTGCGGAAAAGTGTTACTCTGCCCTCTCTTCCCCCGCATGCCTCCCATCCACCGCCCAAGTTTCCATTCTTGGCCCCGTGCACCGCCGTTTGAAAGCCGAGTAACCCTCCACCCAACGGCCCCGATCTGGTACTATTTTCCCACGAACCCTTCCTCCCTCAATTACCTTCCTGCCCCCCCCACCCCCCCCTCCCAATCTTTGGACTTCCTGGATTGCTGTGTGCACCCCAACCGACGACCGAGCAGGCAAGCTGGACCGAGCCCGCGACGGGATAGACTAAATTGTGAAAAAACGTAGCACCGGCCATCTAAACAGCGAAGACGGGCCGTAGTTTGGGGAACCGCCTGTTCTTGGACGTGAAGACTCTCTCAGAACGGTATTAGTATAGGAGCAATGCGTAGCTGGTTCCCAGCGCCGCAGCGAGCATGGCGTAGCGCCCCGAATCACTCTTTGTCTTATAACTTGATCCGACTTGTATTGTGTGATACTGAATCCTCTCTAAGCGTGTGTACGGAAGTCAATTTAATAGTGCCCAATCAGTCTCTTCTTGTAGACAACGTAACGTGATTTTGTCTAAAGGACAAAGAACTGTGGGAATGTGGAGCCAGATCTACATTGTCAACAGCAAGCAAGTAAGCATGCATGGTGTGTGGTTGTGTCATGGCCTTTTGGCGGTTATGCGCCAAGATTATCGCGATCGATCGTGCTTACATTTGAAGGTTTTTTGTGTGATGAACGCTACCGACACGACGTTGGTTGCAATTTTCTTGGGCGGTCTCCTCGTGTACGCCTTGTACATGTTTCCCACGGTTGAGCACATGCCGTTGCGAAAGGTACCATGTGCTTACCCCCTCCTTGAACAGAAACGGCATTTTCAAACGATTGCATTTCTGTGTGGCCGTAAAACACCACAACCGCCACCAGCATCGCGATTAAGTTTATGCGCGGCACACCCCATACTAGAACCCAAAACAGAAGCCATAATCTATCTAGCAAGCAGGGCACAGTGATCTGCACAGTCCCGCACGACACCGCAGGCCTATTCATCCCCTACTTCCTCGCCCGGAGGATGGCTGGCTTGCTGCCCTTCCTTCCCATAGACCCTGAGTACTATGACGTGTTGACAGTCACCGGTGCGACGCAGGTGGTTTTCGCTGAGAAGAAGCAGTCAACATCGTAATTCACACTCTGCCACACATCTCTCATCCCCCCTCTCCCGCCCCATGAATTTACGTCTCGCCGCCACCGTCGCTGCATGGACCCCCCCCACGCCTGTCATTCGCGGCTCATTCCGGGAGGGTCAAGGGTAAGCAGGACAGATCCACAACAAGCCCACAGAGCAACTGGCTTTTAAATTGCACTCACATCCTGCAGTCTCTCCGAGCTCTCGTTGCCGACCCTGAACCGTGTACTTGCGTGTTCATCTGTAACTACCGGCAAATCACGCGGTTCAATTCCGAACACTCATGACAGCATCACTACCTCACAAACAATGACAATCAGCACGTGAGACCATCATAATACAACTTGTTCTAACGTACTGCGGATTACCGTGCTCGCTCCCACTCCGTCCCCGTCGCTCAGCTCGCTTGAGCTTTTCACGGTCATTCCGATACGAAGGCATAAGACAGCTTACGGTACGCCATAAAGTCACGTACCGAAGAGGTGCCATGGGCGTTGATACACGGTAAGCCGCTCAAGCTCAAGATGTGCCAAGTGCACCGCCAACATCACAAGGCGAGACTGATCCTCGTTCTTCCGTACGACAACGAGTAAGATTGCCCTCCGTGGTACATAGCTGCGCTTCGGTCTTCAGGCAGGATCACTCCCACTCCCGTCCTAACACTCCATCACACCAACGTGATGAACCCCAACAACCTCTGCTGGTGTCGAATTACACCTCAAGACGTTGTTCAAGCTGCAATTTTCTCTGACTCGACCATGGTGGGGTACCGGGCCCCGTTCTTGTCCGTGTCTTACCAACGCACGCGCAGGGTGCAATGGACAAACGTACAATTACTTTTTCATATTCTGCTGCTTGGCTCAATACTACCAGCCGATCTCTCCCTGACAACCCATTATTTGGGTGCTTCAAGCCCAGAGAGAATCCAAGCAGACACATAAAAGTGCGGTAGAATCTCCTGTGGGATCGCTGCCCTACAACATCAACTTTCCGTTAACATTTTTACTTATTTTTCAAGTCTGCCAAACAGTATCTCCCACCACTGTTTCAGGGCGCACCAAACCATGCAAGAGGGCTACATTTCATGATGAAAGAGCACTTGACAAGAATAATAAGAACGCACTTTCTACAGTTGACCCTTGTGCCCGCTACGTGGAGCCCGCGCAAGGCCCCTTGGCTCCCGGCAAGCACATTTCACCGCTTTTGTCTCTTGTAGACCGACGGCGACAGGCGGAAGGTACGAGAAGAGCAACTCCTTGCCCACAGGAATGCTTCCTGTTGAGGAGAATCACACGTGCTTGTCACGCGCGTGCTCCTTGCCGATGCTTACCTGCGGGGAAAAAGAAATGTGTGCATGTGCTTGTGAACCATCAAGGAGGACGAAGTGCGTTCGCAACATGCCAAGGGTTGGCAGGCACGTGCAAGAATTGCGTGTTGAGTAAAACAGCCAGCGATACGCAGCATATTCTTTCGGGCACGGCGATCAACCGAACTGAGTGCAGCGACCCGATGTACTGCCGAGGCCATAACATTAGTACCTTCCTCATAAAAACCGCCACATGTGCGATATTTTTTTTCCGTGTGGCGAGTGCGCTCTACATCAACTTATGGAGGCTCCTTCAACCACAATTAACACAGCATAGACATCTAGTGCACGGTAAGGCGTTGGACGCTGCTTGCTCGCCCTCGCTGTGTTTCTTTTCTTCGTGCAAGGACGGTCACGGTGATGTGGAGGCCTCGGACGAAAAACCTACCGGTAGCATTTCGTCCCACGGCAGCGTGACATACCTTGGTGTCGAGCCGACTTGGCAGTGTCCAACGCGTTGTGCCACATAGCGTTGCCTCGGGGTTTTTGAGTCGAGGCTTGCTTCATTTCAACATGGCATGACCCCGTACATGTGTATATATCTGTGCCAGATCGGTTTCTGCTTTAATCTGTGGGCGAGTTTCGCCATCCCCGACAAAACGCCGGTCTTACCCCGCAACACCTAAAATACTAATGCACCCAAATTTCGTTTCCACACAGCTACATAACGGCTGCCTCTCGAAATTAACTTGAAGTACTATAGTGTACATCCAAGGCGGTGTGCGATAGTAGTACAGGAAATCCCGATCCCATCATCTCTTTGCCTAAAGACGGAACGTCTTGGAGGGGCTCGGCAATACACGTGCACAGCGTACTCTGCTAGATCTGAAAGTACCGGGGTGTTGACAGCAGGAGGAGAACAAATGCACTAACACTTCTGCGCAGAAAATGGTATGTCAATTAAGGCTCACCCCGACGACCAGATTGGTTGCCCCGGCCCTCCGTACACACGGGGCAGTGCCACGTGTCAGCTGTGGTTTGGCCAGCGGCGGCTTGCTGGCTATTCAGCCTGACGCGTAGACACCCCGGGTGGAAGACACGGGGGCACTCGTCGCAGCAAATGACTTCACCCGGATATCCGCAGACACTGGGAGAATCAAATGAGGGCAACAACGCCGGGAAGAAGCGGAGGGTTTGAGAGCAACATACGGGGAACAACGTCAACAGCGAAAACCCAGAAATAACAGCAACAGCAGTATGACTAGCACAATTAGCCGAGAGCAATTGACAAACAACGCCTGGACGACTGCCGGACGACTACCGATGACAGGCAACAACGTCAGCAATCCGTTGATTCACGGTAGCATGTTCGACATGTGGTCAATGCACTCTGTACAACAAGAAACGCCATACATAGGTACGTTCGAATAAACAAGGGTAATGCACAACCTTACCCCCCTCTCCCCCCGTCTTTTCTCGGGTATCCTCACCTACAAAAGAAATGGCTGCCGTCAGCTCCCATCATGATTCCGCCTTGCATCCTCCACGCCTTGTCGTTCTCCTTGACATGTTTCTGGAGCTTTTTGGATATAGGGTGCCCTGCCCAGTCTTTCCCGCCCCAGGGGTGCCGCTTATGCGCCGGTTTTCTCGTGCCGCTTTTCGGGGATTGGGCCCCCGCTCTTTCCAGGTGTGCTGACTTTCCATCCGTCTCTTTACCTTCTGCTGTGCGGGCACTACCAGCGACAGGAGGAGCAGCAGCAGACTCTCCGGCGGCGTCGATCGAGGAGGTGGGTAGAGATTGCGTGGCACTACAACTACCATCATCGCCGTTGATGGTGCTGCTGTTTTTTTCGCCGTCACCGCCACGGCCGCTGCCGGTCGCATACATCTCGCTGCCGGTGCTGTTACGTGCCGCAGAAGAGAGTCTGATCGCACCGGAGGGACCTGAAGCCTTGCCAGAAAGGTGTCCACCGCCGAGGTGGTGCGCGGTCACCGTGGCGCTAGCCGCCGGAGGAGCCCCGAAAGACTGGTTTGCCGCGAAAGCAATGGGAACGGCGGCCATCGAGAATGAGAGGTCAGAGCGCCTGGCGACACTAGAGCCACCCGTGCCCTTGCCGTCGGCGTCTCTGATATCCACCCAGCTAATGTTATCACCCTCGCCATGGTATCCACCACCAGGGTAGTGCCCAAACACGTTCATGGTGCTTGCCGCCAGGGGGACTCGCGCTGCCTGGCGTGCGGCGTGTGCAGCCAGTTGGTCTCGGTATGCCACGGCTAGAGCCGTGGAAGCGGCGGCCGTCAGGGCAGTGGGCGGTGCAGTACTAACCAACGGTGACCGCCTGATCCGGCGGCTCTCGCCGAGGCTGCGGAGGTACTGAGCGGCAGAAGAGACACCCATGCCCCTGCCACTGACGTCTCTGATATTCACCCAGCCAATTTCATCACCCTCGGCATTGTGTCCACAACCTACCCCACAGGTTTTCACGTTGACTGCCGCCTGGGCGTCTTGCGCTTCCTGGCGTGCGGCGTGTGAAGCCAGTTCTTCTTGGTGTCGGAATGCCATGGCAATAGCCGTGGAAGCGGCGGCTGTCAAGGCGGTTGGCGGTGCAATACTAAACGATGGCGGCGGCGGGCTGTTCCGGCGGCTCTCGCCGAGGCTACGGACGTCTCGAGCGGCACTAGAGGCAGCCTTGCCCTTGCCGCTGGTGTGCCTGATGCCCACCCAGCCAACGTCACCACCGTCTGCATGGTGTCCACAAGCGGGGTAGTGCCCAAACACCGTGCTTGTCGCCAGGGGGCCTCGCGCTGGCTGGCATGCGGCGTGTGCGGCTCGGTCTCGGTGTGCTACGGCGAGAGCCGTGGATGCGGTGGCGGTCAGGGCGTGAGGCGGTGTAATCCCAAATGGCGGCGGCGGCGGCGTGTTCCGGCGGCTCTCGCCGAGGCTGCGGACGTGTTGAGGTGCCGCGGCGGTGGCGGCCCTGCTGGAGCTGACCTTGCTCGTGGTCTTGCTGGTAGTGTCCGTCGTAGAAAACTCCTAGGCACGCGTGGGTGGGTGAGACAATCACAGGGATACGGGAAAGACCGAGAGCCGGACTACGCAACGCAGTAGAGAGAAACGCAACACATTAATACGCGTACAGTAGCGCTTTCAGCAACACAACGGGGTGATTGTTGAACAGCAAATGACTGTAATCGTACAATGTCGCAGTGGCTCCTGGATCGCACGCAATATACCAACAGCTAAGCGCCCGTACCATTGTTGCTCGTGTCCTAGAAGTCCCACTTTCAGATGTATGACTGAAAATACGAAAAAACAAACAAACTGCGTAACATCGTGCTACAGATCTTCTCTCGAAGAGATTTCGGTCGATTCCTTCAACTTGCACCAAATCCTCTAACGAGAATGAGGAAGAGTTGGAGTTCTGTAGGTTCTCGGAAGCCAAGTCTGCTCTATTTGTGCAGGTGAGTCAGCCTGAAAGCGAGCTTACCAACGGTCTACCGTTGGCATAATTCGGGATGAAGCCGTCTACATTACGTTGGATTCGCGTGTAAACCATTGGAAGCTTGTGTTGCAATGATGTGGCGCTACTTTGATCCCCCGCACATGAGAGGAATAGTGAATCATTCGTTAACGAACATTCATAAACGAAAGATTAAGATTGTACTCGGCACTGACTGCATCCTCGACAGAAAAATTCGCTGCATGTGGTGATTTCAAAACTTTTCCGTCAACCAATTGGTTTCACCCATAATAGTCGGGAAATTACTTCAGGGTTTCACTATACCTCTAGCACTCTGTCGTTTCGGCTGCAGCACAGCATTGATCAATGCGCATTGTACGCCGCTACATGTGTACCAATCTTACCTCCACCGGAGATGCTCTTGTACTGCTCTTCGTCCCCTCGGCTTCTTCTTTTCGCTCGCCGCCATGGTCATCACCGCCGCTCGTGATCCCACGGCTTCGATGACCTCATCACAGACGAGGGTAGCTTTGAGTAAGACATGGCTAGGAGAGCGTGTCGTTCTTCAACGCGTCTCAGTCACCAATCCCCTCTTCCGTAGAAAAAATCACCTTGACAGCAGTTAGTTCGGGCGCATGTGCTCATCGCAGACCAGCGAGGAGCACGGGGAGGGCCCTACAGAAGGGCAAAGCACGTCGCAACAAAACGGAAAACATTTGTGTGGATTGTGTGACTCACCTCCAGAATGGCCTGGACCTCATCCCTGTGTGAGGATCCACCCAGTGGTAGTGGTGTTGTTGCGGTCCTGGCAGCAGGAGAGGACGACACGCTGAGGAATTGCATGGCACACACGCCCAACTGGACAAACCCAAACAGCGTGCAGCACGGGGGGTTGAGGGAAGGGGATGGGGCAAGGGTCACCGCTGGTTCCAGAATTCGCACTCAGGTGAAACACCGAATTCCCCGAAACGTTGCGATCTACCAGGGCCGCCGTCGTCAAACAACAGGCAGCCCAACAAAGAGTTGAACTCAGTTTCAACATCTAGTGGCATACACCGAATATTACGTGTTGCAAAACATTTCGTATAAAATGTTTGGAAACACAAGCCCGGGCAGGCGTTGCATGCCCCGGAAGAGAACGAAACATTTCGTGTAGCGCAAGAGGGATGGGTGCTAAGGTGTACCGATTCAGGTAAAAGTCACTCGACGGATACCCTGCGAATCGGGTCCTCCTTAACACTCTCCACACACAGAATTTACCCTCAACTGGGAACCCTTTGCGGCCAGGATGGGTAATTCAATGGAAGTGTCACAAGGTTCTTTGTCGGATCGACTCCAAGAGGTGATCTCAGGACTGACACACATTGTGTCCATGGGAAAATGTCCAAGTCAGGAGAAAAAGTGTGCACCCAAGGAGATTCGAACAAGTATCTACCTGACCCCACATGTGAGGTGTATCAATTCAGGTAAAGTCAATCGATGGATACCCTGCGAATCGGGCCCTCCTTAACACAGAACATAGAACGGGGCAACACCTCGTTTCCACGGAACTTTACTGGTCTGACAGATGGGAACTAGTGACGAATATGTTCTGTATGCGTATGGCGGTCTCCATGTAACACAAGAGTGAGGTCGTATAAATTTAGACACAGAAACACAAATTGTTCGAGAAATTTCCGGAATGCGTCAGAGTCATTTCAACAGTGTTGAGAAGAATCTGCTGCATGCTCGACTTATTTGAGTTTGTTTGAGCCTAAACACTGAGAGATGAGCCATACCAGCCGGCACAAAAATGCCCAGGCAGGCATGTTTTACCTTGTAGCATCTCCTGCAGGTCTCCGTTGGGTGAACGACAAAGACACCGTGAAGAAACCCTCCGCGATGTCGGGTGCTATTCAACGTCTGCCTTTTCATAATGTTGTCCTGGTCTCGCAGTAGATGAGGCCTTCTGCCGAACAAATAATCCTTAATGACGTAGATAGACAATGGAGGTGGTACGCCATGCGCACTGCGGTAGACAGAAAATCTTGGGTCGAACTATCTAGTTAATGCCCTTGCCTGCTGAAGGTTTGGCCATTGTCGTGGATGGACTCGTTGTTCGTTGAGCTGGACATCGCGACGTGGAATGGTGTTGCGAACTGCACAGCGCCCTGAGAGACTGACAGGAAAGGGACGGACAAGGGACAGGGACTCGGCGATGGGAGGCAAAACTTGGGGGCGCTTGCTTCTGTCGGGTTCGAAAGTTGTCCATATCTTCAATCGCAAAAGCAATACCTCTCTCTGTAGATATACGGGAGGCCGATGTGTCTCATCATAGTCTAACTCAAGGCCTGCTCATCCGCCTCTACTTTTTTTCTAATTTCTTGTTGGTTCCTGTTTCAGGTTCAATTCTTAGAACGGCATGGATTGATACAGTATACTCGCCGACGCAGCGGGCACCCCTGTAAACAAACCTCGGCTTCAAACTGAACTCTTGTAATATAGCAGCGGTCTTGCGAGAGGGAACCACAACCTACAATACTGTACAGCATTAGGCGAGGTGAGAGGAAACCACACACGAGGAACCATATTGAATGTAGGCACTTCTGTGTCCTCCCGGTACAGAATGCACAACGGACAATGCAATCACCTAGACCCCGGTTGAGATAGTTATGCTGTGTGTTTGAGGTAGTGCCCCTTGAGACCAAAGCACGGTAGTATCAGGCAGCCCAAACATTGATAGATAAAATATTTTTGTGAGCAGAAACAAGAGCGAGAGGCCCACTATCCTGCTACCCACCAACATTGACATGTATGTACTGCTGTACACCTCTCTACACTTGGGTGTGAGGGTCTAGTGTGCGACCTGTGCCTGCCCTGCTAGGCTAGACACCTATCACTCCTTTGCACTTGGTGTATACAAAAAGAGCCGAGGGCAGGGCGAGCGCTATTATTGGCTGACGACCACCCCCCTTCGTGAATCACCGTCGCCCCACCAGACCTCAAAACGGACGCACTAGCCTGCAGGTGCAGTTTATTGTACTTGAAGTATATTTTACCTTCACCACGGAAAGATGTTGTTGGTATCGACCCAGCGGGATAAACGAAGTTTTAATTGAAATCAAACCCGAGGAACAGTCAATCAAGCAGTAGGTCCGAGCATCGACTTTCCCCAGTCAGGAGGGATATCTCCTGGACTCCTTCAGCAACGGTGCACAAAATGATTTCCATCACTCTTCTCTCAGTGAGAGTTCTTTGCGGTAATTGTATGTATGTAGTAGAGATGCTGTGTGTGAGCGCTGATTTAAAGTGATGAGAAAAAATTGTTTTCTACAAGAGTTTAGTCTCATAAGGCTAGTACCAGAATACGTGTAACGGACGGCCTCCGATATATCTTCTGGATATCTTGCAGGTATGATCAACGGAGTTGCCAACTGTGTCAGGGAAACCCCAGCCCTTGCCACACAAGGAGGCTAGAGTGCGAAAGAGTTCAGCGACATACGTGCGCTCTCTCTCTCTCTCTGTCTCTCTGCCGCTTCTACCCTCCCTCAAACTCTGGATAAGCAAAAAGAAACCCATAGGATACAGAGCCCAAACACTGCATGTTCCAGTCAAAGCATGCAACTGGGAATACAACACGCTATGACCCAGTGTAGATGAAAGGCCGAGCCTAGCCTTGTCTCTCTGCCTCTCTGTCTTCTGTCTGTCTCCAGCCTTGGCTGTTGGATCCGGTCGTGATAAGATACCACCAACAACCCGCAACCATCACCCACCACGCGGATCTATCTTTGCACCTTCTCACCTTCGATTTGTGGCGGAGTTGTCTCCGTGGGAGAAAAGTCTGCCCTTGCCTTCTGCTGCCACTGCACTCCTCCAAGAAGGTATGTACTGTAGTCCTCTTTGTTCGTGTGATGGTACCCGCTGTGTACGAAGTGGGAAGTGGGAACCGGGGGAGACGCGGCGGAACGCTCGGGAATGGAGACGTCACTTACCCGTGTGGAAAAAAAAAAAATCTTCCCCCTGTTCTTTCGCTCTTTCTCTGCCTCTGATATCCGTCCAAAACGATTTTCGAAATTTCTCTTCTGTCGGCAAGATAGAGCACACACCCAGTAAAGGAGCGTGTATGCAACTGCACATGACACGACCGACCGTGGTGTGTAGCGTACACGCTGCTCCCGTTTAAGTCGTCAGTATGTACCAAGAAGACACCTGACCTCTGTACCTGGTTGGTAACACCATCAAACTGGCTCTCTTCCACAGCACCAGTGTAGTAGATCAGAACGAATCCGCCGAACCTTGTAGCTTACGATGGCAGGAGAAGCCGTATGAGCCCGATTGTGGACCTTTCGGCGATGATGCGTGGCACATCATCTTGAGAAAATAGAATCGAAGCAGCCAGTGATACGTGTGGTGAGTACTGTAGAGGCGAGAGAAACGTTCACCTGTCATCTGCTGGTTTCATGGCACCTTACAGCAGCAGCAACCTCCTCCATGGTACATAATAGCTGAACACACACATATCAGCACAAGACGAACAAACAAAGGCAGCAACAAAATAGCTACTGTTTGCTGCCTTGGCTGCTGCAACTGATTCGGCACGACCTTTTTCTTGGGGGCAAACATCCAGGAGCCCCCGGAAAACAATTTTTGTCTCATGAGACTTTCTGCAGCAGCCGTGTAGACTAGTAGACTAGTACAGGAGCGTACACAGTCCAATAAAGAACGATGCAATGAGGATGCGTCAGGCAGCAGTGGTAGGAGAATCCGTCGCCGAGAGACAGCGATAACGTTGGAAAGCTCATTCAACTCACGTGATGTTGGCGAGTCTGAACGTGGCAACTGCAGCGTGGTCGCCGTGTCTTCAGCGACAGCACTATTTAGTCGAAAGCCTACGTGGTACACGTCTTTGCCAACAATTATTTCATTTCGCCTGGACATCGGACAAAACGCAGAGCCTCCGTCCATATCTCGCCGCGGACTTCAGTAGATCGATGAATGTGTGTCACGGGCGGAAGGATACTAAGCTTCCGCATGGCGCGCGTCTGCTGCATTCGTCGTCAGGCGAGATTCGTCATGCGTTATCGTTTTCACACAGGGTTTGGGGACAGAGGCGGCTCCCTATGCTCAGAATTTGCATCGATCGCGGGTAGAAAGTCTAAACACTTACTTTAGTTTCCTCTAAAAGGCGCGCTCTTGTTAGTGTGGTCTCGCGCGTAGGTTCTGCCCAAGTGATATTCATTTTCCTCGTCCAGCCGTGACTAACGGCAGTACGAACGCGGCCCAATGACAGAAATAATATTGTTCTGTCTCGGCTACTGCACTCCGACCGGGAACCGACACGAACTTCTGTTCCTTTTTAACTCTTCATCAAGGCACGGGGGAGAGGGGAGAGGGGCAGGGTCCCGAAGCGAGAGTCAAGCGAAAGGGTTGGAGACAACAAGCACCACTGCTGTGTAGGGTTACACATTTATCGGAAAGGGCACAGAAGGAGAGGGTGTGAGGCGTGGATGTGGGAGGGTCATGAACGAATGGATGCGCTTTGAGATTGATTCTGGACTGGCTGTGTTTTCGTTTTAGGCACCACGCGTCCGCCTCCCACTTGAGCCACCCAAACGGCGAGGTATGCAAAAAATAGGGTAGCTTTTCTCTGCTCTCGACTGAAGCACAGGTGACCTGTACCACCACGAAGCGGACCTGCCTGGTACAAGAGCTCGCCAGACTACAAAAAGGGAGGTGCCCACCCTTATGTGACAGACAATCGCAGGAGAGTGTTTGGAGGCAAGGGGCGGATGTTGGTACATAGAGTAGCGGCGGGTATTAAAGGCCACCCGGGTATTAAAGGCCACTTTTATTTAAAGGGGGGTATCTCCCCACAGAATCCA